GGAATCGAAGATGACGCAAGCATTTGAATATATGAAATGGAAGATGAAAACAGAAAGCTTTTATTATTCTTATTTTTTTATTTTAAAAAATGAAATACAACCAAAATTATTAAATCAATTATCCGTGGAATTACTGGATTAAAAAAAAAACAAAAATAAAATAGCAAAATAAAGAAAATTATTAAATCAATTATTTGTACTATTTAAATAATATTTTGTATATATATAAATAAATAAATAAATATTGCGAATTAGGCAAAAGTTCAACCTGTATCCTCAGCGTTGTCGAGAAAGGCAGTCCAAAGAAATTCTTTTTAGTCACGCCATCGACATACTTAGAAACCTAGCATCCAGCCCAATCAATATTTAGGATATAAGGTGGAAGATGAAGAAATATATAATATTATTAGGGTACAAAATATAAAAATCACTGTGTACATTTATAAAAATAATTAAAAAAATGATGTCAAACTATTTTTAAATAAAAAATATATTTTTTATTATTCTCCTAAAACCAGCATAAAAGAGCCTGTTCATAGACCGACGAGATTTTGTGGAAAGAAATTTGTTTAAGTTGGGAATGGCAATTAGCAAAAATAAAAACAAATCTCTTATGATTAACAAATTAATTACTATTGAGTAGAAATAATGACTAATCTTTTACAAATAAGAAAATCAATTTCAAAAAAAAATACTTTCGGACACCCATGATCATATTCTTTAAAAGAAATGCGTAACAATTATTAAATCTTTATCAACTTTCATCAATACTTACTTCTTCTAATAAAGGTTAATTTGTATCTTTTTAGCATACATGCCATGCAGTATGCTAACTTAACCATAACACAGTTACTTCACATCACATCACATCACACTCTGAAGAAACATGCAATTCAAATAAATTCCAAAATCTTGTGAAATTTTCAGCCTAAAATTGCACGGCAAAGAATTTGTAACCATTCAAAAACAAAATCAACATAATTAAGTAATTCTATCTAAGCAGTACTTGTGGAGACACCACGCCAAGGAGGCGCGGTAGAGAGTTCAAGAGAACTTGGTACCTACATACATCCATGCCTACTTCTCAGCAGCTCCTTTTGTATGGAAACTTGACAAATATTAGACACAAGTCGGGAGCAAATGGGTGGGACGAACAACAGAAAAGAGTTTGACCTAAAACTGATGAAAGTAGTTTAGAAAAAGGCAGGACACGGGTAAAGAAAACTGGGATTATAAAGAGCTGTCCCATTATGAATCGGTAAAGCAAATCAGATACCGAATTAGTCAAGCAAATCTGATACTGCTGTCTTCTTGAAGGGATCAATTTGAGTCAGCTGTGCAGCCAAAGCTTTATTCGGGAATATATTATCAGCCTTAATTCGCTCCCTCATCCCATAAGCAGGAGCTTTGGCATTTATATATGCTTGGACTAAAGCTTGGAACTGCTTGATTCGAGCAATGTATCCAGCCTGCCTCATCCGATAGAATATTTTTTCAGAATTATGGATATCACCCCTCTTCACATATTGTTCCATGACAATCATGAATGAGTTGAACATTGGCTTCAACTGGTTATGTTGGGATGCTTTATTCAAGACAGAGTCAGCCTTTTCCACCTCTCCTACTTCCACATAGAGCTTAACAATTGCATCCCAGGTCAACGGGCCAATACGGCACCCACTATCTGCCATTCGCTTCAGAAGGTCCTTGCCCTTGGTTAGCATTTTATTGTTTGCATAGACCTTCAAGAGAGCAGAATAATGCTTTGAAGAAAGTTTCTGCCACTTTTTTGACATTTTATCAAAAACTGCCTCTGCTTCTTCAATTCTCTTCAACTTCCCCCATGCTTCAATAGCAGCCATGCACTCCTCAATCCGGGGATTTGATTCACACACCTTCCAAACTCTTCCTACTTCATCAGCCTTTCCAAGCATTGCATTGAGAGGAAGCAGAGCCCGACAAGCCCCACGATTTGTTCTTAAGTTCTCTCCTTCTATTTCCTTCAAAACTGCCTCTGCTTTTTCTTTAAGCCCAGCTGTAGCGTAATGCTTAGCCAAGATAGATAGTGTGTATGCATCCGGTTGAACGCCTTCAGCTTTCATTGTCTCTAGAATTTGATCCATCCCATGCATGTCGTTGGACATGCCTTTGGTGTCTATCAAAATTCTGTAAGTGAAGAGAGAAGGCTTGATATTTTGCTTCTCCATCAGTAATAATACATCAGCTATTTTCTTCTTGTCCAGCCTCTTATAGAGAAGGAGCAACTGATTGCATGAAAATGCACTGACAGGGAACTCTAGGTCCTTCATTTTGTTGAAGACTTCCTCTGCCTTCTTTGCATTGTTAGCAACGACACAGTTAGCTAATAGGGTTCGGTAGATCACCTCCCCTCTAAAAGATGCAGGGACCTTCTCAATGTAGTTTTCTGCCTTCTGTAGTCCACGCACTTTCGCAATTAAATCAAGACGAGCAGCATAATCTCTCTCAACAAATTCAAGTTCATTATTTGCTTCTAACCACTCCGAAAGCTGCAAAACCAATAAAGGATGAAGATTACAAGACATTATACACGTACAATTTCTGACAGCTTTAGAACTGATATAAACTTGCTCTAGCAGTATAAGCAACCAATGTATTATTATAAATTTTATCATTAAAGGAGAATATAATTATTCTTAACCTATACATTCAAAAAAAGAATAATTATTCTTAACCTACAGTAACGATGCTTTTCTCTAACTGAAATTCCAAAGCTGAAGGCCAACGTATACCAACTCTTAGCAGTA